TATATATATATATAAAAATAAATTTCTGAACATTTAAATAGTGAACTGTTTGTTTACTGTTTGCTTATAAATTTCACTAACAGATTTATTTACATTCCTTCATGCGTTTTACACCTGGGATATTTATGCCTGACATAAATGTAATATTTTTTCTTATATTTCAAGTCTGTGAATTCCAAGGTTAATGTTTTACAATTTCATGTAGTTGATCACTAAGACGTTTTCTCTGAAAGAACTACGTCTTTAAAATATTTCTTGCACACATTAGACCATAGAAATATTAAGTAGAACAAATAACTGAAAATCACTAGTTAAAAATAATATAGATTTGGTTAAAAGAGAATAGTCATCATGTGTGTTATATACTATTTTTGTAGTTCTTTAGCAAAGAGAAAAAACGAAGAAGAAAATTAAAAATCTGTCATATTCTTGTCCTTGATGTAGTTTTTTATAAGTAGGTAAATTAGGATTACACGATTTCTAAGAGCATTAAGAATATTTGTTTTCATTATTTCTTTGTTATATTTTTTTCCCTTTTATTTGTATCAGGCTAAGATAATAATATCCTATGATTTTTACTACTTTGACTTTGTATTAACTTCGAAGTTAGGCGCAGTAAAATTGTTTGTGGCTCTTAAGCGATTAAGCTTAACATTTTAATAATCTGTCAAAATTTTGTATTCATTTTACGAAATTTGGTGTTTCTTTTATTGGAAAAATAAGGTGTATTTTTTATCTTCGATGAAAACTCTAGATATTTAACTTTTTATCGAATATTTCGATCATTAAAAAGAGCAAACAATTCTTTTAGTATTTCGAATAAATAATTATGTTACATTGAAAACAGAAATTTTTTTCTCCCTATTTTCGGTGATTTTGAGAGCTATGTACTGTAATGCTCGAAATTTCTTATGCTCGAATAAGTAATGAAAAAAGAAAAATTAAATCAAGTCTAAATTTCAATTCTTATAATTATGTAGTTAAAAAAGAGGAAGTTCATTAATTTCGAAATTCAAGAAGTTAGAAATCATACTTGTAAAATGCAAGTTGTAGAGCCATCTGCATATAACTATCTGGACTTGCATTTCGATATTTAATGCACTCTGTTTCGAAATCATCAAAATAATATTCTCCAACATCACAGTTATCAATAATCCTAAAAGTATATTAACCATCACTGTTAAACACTTTAATACAAAAGCTAATGTATACTTTAGTTTTGACACTTGTTTTCAAATTCATAGAAAAGTATTAAAAGTTATTTTTTTTACCATAGCCACATGAAAAACATGCTTAAATTTGCATTCCTTAGTTATATATTTCAGACGCACATGCATTAATAAATATGAGTATTCTATTTGATCTTAAAATTGACAAATTAAAGTACAGAAAGTATTACGTAAATAGGACACTGAACTGTAATTTGGAAAGGACTGGGGCTCCATAACCCATGATTCAATTAAGCCCACCCTGTTTCAGATTGAGAGGTACCAACGTATCTGGGAATTGAAGCGACCAGTGCTCAATGCTGATCATTGGTCAGGAAACAATCCTGCCGTTATTCATGAAATTGCGAAGCCATAACATCATTGATAACTCACTACGTTGCAGCTCAAGAGTTTTATTTTATGTCTACTAATTTAATTTTCAACATTTAATGCAATTTTATATTATATCATTCTATTTCACTTATGTTATCGTGTGTTTGCGCTGATATTTTTTGAAACTTAAATAGTCACACTTGGATTAAAATTGCCATAAAAATAAATTATTATCAAATATAGTCAAAATTTTGTAAGTATGGCTGTATGGATAAAAGTTACAAACTCTAATTCGTACCGTAACCGTTTATGTGCTCAGTTACGGGACATATTGTTTAAAAATTGAAACAGTATGCTTAAATCTGTGAATTTTGTTTCGACTATTATCAAGAATTATTTTCCTCCAAATTTCATACTTGCTTGTTTTAATAAAGTTTTGAACAATACTCAATGACCATTGAAGTTTCAGTTTCTCGATAATTTAATGTCAATTTTAAGCCCCCCCCCAAATTGCACACATGTTCATTTTTTACATGTTACAAGTCTGTATGTATTCACAGAAACCTTTATCTTTTTGGTTTTCTGTTGGCAAAGATAGATTTTGAGGACCAAAGTCGAACAAAATAGCTTTATTTCGATGGTCTTTAAATGGCGTTTGATCTTCCATGCAAATATCCAATGATAGAATTCCTGCCATGAATTTATGTCATGTTTTAATGGTGTGAAAGTAGTAGAATATAAAATAATGATCAGTGTCTGCGGCTCACTCATTTCTCAAAAAGTAGTAACGCATGTAAGAAGATGTGTGTTTATTTTAATTCCAGAGAACCTTCAGTTTTAACCCCCAAAAATGCTGAAATGTGTTTTTAGCAAAATTAAAAAATCACCCATCTAATACTTTTACATAAAGAATATATCTGAAAATTTTAACAAAATTAAAATATATCAATTAGCAAACCCTGCCTAATACTTAAAATTACTAGCTCTTAAGCATTTCTTTATCGGAACACTTCCCTTAACTTATTTTTTTTTTAATTTGTTGAAAAGTTTGAAACTTTTTGACCCTTAACATCGTTCGAATTCGCCACCATCTAAATATGCTAAGTTAAACTACATCATTGTATTTCATAAAATTAATAACATAGTATAGTTCTTTGAAAATTGGTTTAAAATGACACTTTATTTGGTTGTAGAAAGTGTGGACTATATTGTAGTTCAAGAAAACGATATCACGGTTCAACATTGAACTGGAGAATATAATTCGCATAGTTTAATAAAACAGAGTAGGTGAAAAGAAAGAAAATACTGAGTTATAAAAGACATTGTGAACACCAACAATTTTTGGAAATTCTTACCATTCCAAGTTAAGTCGAGCTTCTTGAATGTCTTGTAATGCTTTTAAAGGCAAGAAAAAATTCAATTTCTTGGGCTTCGGATTATATTTTGTCACAGATATAGTACTAATTTCCTCATTTCTGGCCCTTTTAATAAAACAAGTTAACAAAACAACTCTGCAGAAAATTATCAAGAAATGCATTTAAAGAAAAATTAAAAAATATATACTTACAAATAATCATTTACATATTTGAATACATTTATAAGCGGTCTTGCATTGAATGCAGAAATTTCGAAAATTATTCCAAATGCTCCATGCTCGCCTACAATTAGCTGATAAACATAAATAAATTCAAAATCTCAATGAAACAAACATATAAAAGAGGTAAAAATAGCATTTAAGTAGAAATTTTTGATAGAGGATAATTTTATAATCAAGATATAGTTATGCTTAAAAGAAAATTTCTCGATAAAGAATAATTCTAAGATAAAATTAATTTTAGGATAAAAGATAAACTTTACGATAAAAGATACTTTTTGTAAATTGTGAAACTTTGATAAAATTACTGTTTGACTTCAAAATTTAACAATTTATTTAATTTGTTTCTTAAATAAAGACAAAGTTAACAGACACCAATGTTAATAAACACTATAACAGCAGCAAAGAATCATGTAATTTAAGCAAAATAGTTTGGATTAAAAAAATAATTTTCATGTCTTCAGCCAATTTGAACATTGTAGTGATTAAAAGTTCAGTTTGATTGGAAATTTGGAATTCGGAGCATTGAGCAGCGATTTTAAATGGATTCAGATAGTATCTAAATCAATGAATCATATCCAGATTGCAGGAAACTGTTTAAACGGAATTGCATATGACGCATATGGCTAAACTGAAGGTACAACATCTGAACAAGGTGAACTTATGCATCCACAAAGCTAGGTTTTAGTTAAAAAAGTAGAAGAGTTTGTTAGGTTTTCGTTGGAAAAGTTGTTGCATGAAACCTGAAGCAGAAATAATAAAAGAGATGCATCATAAATATTAAAATTAAAATACGTGTGATAATTATCTAAAAATAGATGGAAAGTTCGTATACGTCCACATGGCGATAATGAATTGTAAAGCCTTTCCTCGATTCTATTTTCGTTATCTTTAACAATAAAATATATAATTATACATAAGTACGCCATTGTTTTATGCTATAATTTGATTATGTTTAATGCAACTTAGCTTGTATGCCAAGTTTCTTCATTCAAATGTTTAACTAATCAATGGTATTGTGGTTGGAAACAAGTAATCTTTTCGACTGAATCATAGTTTAAAATTAGTTAATATAATTATCATGTACATGTCAGATGTTACGCGGAGCAATGCTATCTTCCTTAGTGTTTTAATTCATATCAAACAATTTGAGACAACAGCTATATCAAACAGTTTGAAATTTGGATTAGCGATCCTATTCCAAATTTGTCTGACATTTGATAGATACCTTTTTCAAAATGTAATTTCTTAGAAACATTTTTCGATCAAATTTTGTGTTTTGTCACGTAAAATGACATTTTTTAAAATTATGTAAAAAATTGTATACCTTCTGATTCAAAATTTACCGAATGAAATTAATTAAAATAGTGAAAAGAATCAATAATTATAAATTATAATTTTTGCCAGGAACTATGTTTGGATAAATGAATTGCTATGTTATTATTGTGTGCGAAAAATTTCAGTTCGTTTGTAAAGTTTTTGAGATATCTCGTAAAACGTAAAATTAACATTAAGAGGTCTACTTTCGATCGCTCTCCTGACCAAAATATTAGAATCGTATCTCCAGGATTGTGGCTATCCCCCAGATTTTGGATCATTATCCTTCGAAAAAAGTTACATTTGTTCAGAGAAAGTTCGTTTTTGTGTCTGATTTCATAGGTTAAATTATCGTCTGTACAAATTAATTTGCATTCTTAAACTCAACTCCTTGAGTCATTAAGATCGAGGTTTATTATTATATTTTTGTTTACTATACATTAAGGAAGAGACGTGTAAATTTTTTTTTAGTACTACTTGTTTGATTATCAAATTACGTTTCATCTGCGGTGTGGCATATAATGTAAATGTAAGCATTTATACGCATACATGTATGGATTCACAGTGGTTGTTGGTCATGGTATATTAGCTTTTAGTCTCTTAAGAAGAGGCACTGTGTGGTATTTATCGCACGAATACACCTAAAGTCTTTTGGAATAAAGAAAAATTTCCAAACATAAAACATTATGCTCGAACTCTACATGCGTTATCATTCTGACGTTTTCATTGTTATATGTGTATAAGCTTGAGAAGTTTTCAGCGTAAGGTTCACATTAAGAATATTTTTTAAGTGTTTCAAATTTCATGATCAGTTGTGTGATGTTGTTCATCACACAACAATCTCTACTTTTACCTGTTTTATTTTACCAATTACTCAATTGAATATGTTTACCTTGCTAACTTCCATTTAAAACCCATAAGTTAATATCTCTGTGTAAGCTATAAAGTAATTCTGTCATCTTGATATCTTCTGGTTTTTTGTTTTGAATGCTTCCGGAATTTTCGAGATGTCATCAAAAGGAAATGTCCGTTAAGAAAATTTTCCAATAAATTCTATCATTAATCATCAACGTTCTCAAGGTTGTCTAGTAGTAAAAGAGTGATTTGACTGTAGAATATATATATATAGTAGTAGAATATAAAATAATGATCAGTGTCTGCGGCTCACTCATTTCTCAAAAAGTAGTAACGCATGTAAGAAGATGTGTGTTTATTTTAATTCCAGNATATATATATATATATATAAATAAAATTTTAAAATTAGGTTACAATTTGGGTGCGCCAGTTAGCTTCTAATTATTTATGAAACTAAAATGGATATATAAACGATGTTACTTGACTATACTTTTTTTTCATAAGGTTGCTTATGAGATTTTAAAAGTTTGCAGCTCCCAGTCTGTATAATTGTTATGTTCATGTGATAAAAAAAAGATTGAAATGAAAAGTATCAAAGTCATATTTAGGCTGATTTCTACATTTCTCTACAGTCTGCGATTCCAGCATCTCTGTAAGTAGAGTATTAGCTGACCCGGCATTTTTATGTAAGGAAATCTTATTCAAAACCTCACCTGTAATGGTTTGTCATACCATCTATTACCACCTGCTTCAACAGTGCCACCATTAATGACCTGTTTATTGAACTGGTCTTTATAAGGTTTTAAAAGATCTTTTGATGGTTCATCTATGCATACAACAAGCAATGATCTCTGAATAGTTGCAAGTGATTTTCTGTTTACATGGTCATCTAATAAAAATATATAACGCATGTAAATACTTTTAGAAATATTTGTAACAGCATTAACACTCAAGTTACGAATATTAATTTCTAGGATTTATCTTGTAACTTTGAAAAATAGGGTGTGAATTTATTCATTCAAAAAGTTTCGATTTAACCACATCGTGTTGTTATGTTTTTATATATTCGACTGCTAATGTTCAATAAACCTATTTCAAAGTTCTCATTTGTGATGCTACTCAGTTTTAACGATGAGATTTTCCTCATTTCTTTGAAAGTTTAGGTTCAGAAAGTTTTTAGTTTCTTTTGGTTTTTAGTTCTTTGGAAGTTTTTAGTTTCAGAAGCAAATAAAAAGCCCTTTGTACTACGCTTGGAGATTATGACAGATTACACTGGGGAGCAAATGTCTTGTTGCATTTATGTAAATACTTGAGCTTGCCTGGTACGTGGGGAATTCAAATCTGAAATTAGTTTTGCTCCTAAAGCTACAGATTTTTTTAATTAAATAACATTCTTAATCTATTTTTTGTTGTTAAAATATCTAAGTTTAACGTAGATCGCATAAATAGTACGACAAACTTCAAGGGGTTTTAGGGCTCATCATGATTAAAATTTCATAGGAATCCTTTCCCGAAAATGTCATCATACGTGGCTAGATGCACGTCCTTATTATGACTTGTTCAGAAACATATGATGAGAGCATCATAATAGAGAAGTGCCCTAGATGCGTACGACGAAATTTCCGGGCATGAGTTCTGTTGCAATTTCAATCATGATGATGCGCCATAACTCCCCTAAACGTTTGTCGTGACATTTATCCTCCTGTAATATATAACTCCTTTAAACTTGTAAATTTCGGCAAAAAATGAACTAAAAATTTTACTAGAAGTTGTAGCTTGGACAGTGAAACCGATTGAATAGTTTTAAACAAAAAAATGTGATTTTTCAGATGGCTCCTATTCAGAAAATGGGGATGCTTTTTTTGTTTTCAGTTGGCTTCTGTATTGCGTGGAGTTCAGTATTTTTACTGTAACTTAGAAGTTTTTTGAGGATTATCTTGTACTTGGTGTAAATTGACCATAACAAAAACGGCCGTAACATATATTTTTTTTCAAAAAAAGTCCCGAATATTGTTAAGGAAAACCCTTTAGATTCCTTAAATTGATCTTGTGAATAAATAAACACACCTTCTGTTAAAACCAGCAAAGAAATGCATATTTTAAACAATAGTTTTCGTTTTCTATCTTATAATAATTATGATTGAATTGTTTCATAATGATTGTATAATTCAGTAAAAAGGAAAGCAAACTTTAAGTTATTTTAAATTAAAAACTTGCTTAATAGGCATAGAAAGCATAAAGATTATGTAATAGTTTTTATGAATATATCCTGTTTTATCAAATATTGATGCTAAATTTTAAAAATGCATTTTTTACGTTTTAATTTTCAAAACAATGGGCATGTTTAGCAAACATTTGCAGTTTAATATTTTATACAACTTATTAAAACTACGAAAATTCTTCACGATAGACTTCCAAAAAATGTCGTGACAACTGTTCTTTTTTCTTTGTTAATGCTATCAACGCTAAAATGAAATAAAAGAGTACTGTTTAAAAACTGCTTTTTGAAAAAAAATATTTTCCATTATTCAGCTCGTCATACAAAATTGCCAAACGTATAAAAACTTCATTTTGAATTTTTTGTGCCCTGTGTGTTGTTATTTGAATTTGCATAGAAATTTTAAATATATGAAATGGTTTGCTATAATGAATTAACAAGATATAATTGCAGTGACGCTAAATTGTTTTACTTAACTTGCATTTTAAAAATTGATTTTTAGTGTTTATAAGTTTAATGGTGGTGATTATTTCAATGGCATTTTTACGTATTGGGAAGGAATAATTTAACATAATAAATTATAATAAGTAATAATTATAACGAATTATTTGATGTTTTTAATTATAAGCAAAATGATTTGCATTGTAATAGAAATTTAAAGGGTTAAGTGGCATGAAACTTATAAATAAGTTAATATGTTTTACTGGATCTTTTGACTGGGTTATTCAGCCGTTTCTTAAAGGTTATAATAAAAAAATTATTTTAATAATTTATAAGCTAAATTACTTACATTGTAACAGTAATTTATAAGTTTTTGCCCATTTGTCTCTGTTAAGTGTGGTTAAAATACCTATGGGGTTTTTACTAGTTGGTGACATTTCCACTACTTTTCGCAACTGATATTCAATTTGATTCTCATTTAGAGCATTTCCATCATTGTCATAGACATCCACACTGAAAAACTATGTAGATGTATGTAAAAGAACAAATATATACTAAAAAAAAAAAAAAAAAACAAAGCATGCATATGGAAAAGAAATGCAAACATTTTTACCAGAATATTTTAATAGTTTTCTTAAAATTTTGAATTCCGAAAAAGTAAAAGAAAGATGAATTAAAACGTCTAGAAGCATTTTTTCAGAATCACTTAAAGAGGTCAAAGGCCAAACTTTTAAAGAAACTAAAAAAGTTGAATTTAGAGAAAAAACATAAAATTTTGATTTAGTTGGTTTCAAAGTCAAAAACAGTTGGTAAATTTATTACTGCCATGAAATTGAAAAAAAAAAACTACGAAAATTCTTCACGATAGACTTCCAAAAAATGTCGTGACAACTGTTCTTTTTTCTTTGTTAATGCTATCAACGCTAAAATGAAATTTAAGAGTACTGTTTAAGAACTGCTTTTCGAAAAAAAATATTTTCCATTATTCAGCTCGTCATACAAAATTGCCTAACGTATAAAAACTTCATTTTGAATTTTTTGTGACCTGTGTGTTGTTATTTGAATTTGCATAGAAATTTTATTTTACATCATGCTGGTTATAAAAATCTACAATGTTAAAAATTCTTAATCTCGTTGAACCACAACTTCTTTCAAATTTGCTGCAGCGTTAAATTGTACTAAGTTGAATAAATTAATAATTTGAAAGATTTAATTCTTTTTAAACTGAATTACTCAATAATATAGTATAACTTGAATGTAACACAACTCAATTTCGTCTTTTTTTACAAGCTTGAAGCACATTATTTCGTATTACGGTTCAAGGGACTAATGTATTATTTTCTGGAAATTGTAAAAAATTCAGGATCAAATTACTACAAAATGTACGGGTACTCAGGGTACCGGCACTTTTTACCATAAAATCCCTTTCTGCTAGATCATGTAGCGCAACAAAAAATCTGATATTCTGGAATTTTTACAGAAATAATTGCCTTAAAATCACTGAAACACTATAATGAAATAAATATTTCTGTAAAAATCACAGTTTAATATTCTACGTAAAAATGGATTTTACCTATGATGCACCTAAAGTCCCAGTACTTTATAACGCACCGCAATTTGATTCGAAATTCCTTAAAGTGTAGTGCAGTACTGCCTACACTTAATGATGATACGCCTGCCTACGCATAAACTTTATGCTTTCAAAGGTTTCTTTCTACGTAACAACAATTTCTTAGACATTAGTATTACTTATTTTTTATTACTTTTGCAATATAGTTGCTACTGTTGATGAAAAAAACAATTGAGTTCAATTACATATTATATTTAGCAAATTCTCATTATTTTCTTCCCGCATTTGCGTTACATGGAGAGGAAGACCACGAGAACCTCCCACGGTTAGCCTGTCGGTAAGGGGACTCTAACCCATGATCCGTCTACTACTGAGGATATTTCACGTCAGCACTGTGGTTGGTGCAGGCTGGATGTGGAATTCGTATCGATCAGCCATCGCTAGGATTCGAAACCCGGTTCACCTCATTGGAAGGCCTCATTGGAAGGCGAGCGCTTTATCCCCTAAGCTTTTGCGACTTTCCCTGCATTCCTTGGGAGCGACTATGCTCAGCAGTAGTTGCGCAGGTAATCTTTACTGTCTGTTCTGTTTCTTTAAGATGTTAACGACTATCGAATCACCCACCATGTGCGGAGTTTGATCAGTAATACGTTTTTTGACGACAAAAAACCCGTCTGTTGCAGACATTTACCGGAATATTTGTGAAGTTTATGGAGCTACTGCCATGAATGAAGGCAAAGTGCGTAGGTGGGTCAGAGACTTTAAAGCTGGCTGCGACAACGTCCGTGACCAGTCTCTCCCCGATAGGTCATCATCACAGACAATATGGTTGCTTCAGTTGAAGCAAAAACTCTTGAGAACAGACTGCATACTGAGAGATGTAATTTTGACACTCCATTACAATGCAAGGTCTCATACCGCCGCTCAGACCGGAGGTTTCTTGGACTTTTTTGGCTAGGATGTTTTGGATAATCCCCCTACAGACCAGAACTTGCGCCGAGTGATTTTTATCTTTTCCGCTATGTTAAATATCATCTTAATCTATCCTATATATCATCATGAAATTTATCTTAAATATCAAACCAATACAACGATGACGAAAACGTAAAAACAAGTTACCGGAACAGACGGCAAATTTCTGTTAAGAGAGTATGCTAAATCCAGGTATGGTATGATAAATGTTGACATGACAACTATGTTCGAAAATAGAGAAATGTATGCAGAATCTGAAAATAAAAGTTAGCTATTGAATTTTCTTCAGTTGGATTTGATTTTCAAGTAGCTATTACGTAAAAAACACTTCTCGTGTTTTGTTAAAATAGTTTTTTATGTGGCGAATATTTTATCTCATTAACCGTTAACATTTTTCTAAACATTACATTCTTCTTAACATTTTATTTCACTAAAAGTATCATTTAATAATAATTTATATTGGATGTCTTATGGAGGGAATTTTCCTACTTTCTGTAGAAATTTAAAGCTATGTTAAGTTTATTTCTTGAACGAAATATTAATTTAAAAGTTGGATATTAAGAATGGAAAGTAAAAGAAATATACTTTCGAATTACTATTCCGTGATTCAATATTAGATTTACTATAAATATATCGCTAATAATAACGTTTTCTTTGACTCTATTATTTTGCTTTGTTTACTTATTTATATTATTTAATTTGAATTTTTTTGCCCATTTAAATACTTTTTGGAAATCATGGGAAATATGAAATCATTACTGAAATAAGCAGAAAACTCAAGAAATTTTTTTTTTAAAAATTAAAATATAACTCATTATTTTTAACCAATAAATTAAAATAGCTGATATTAAGAATGGAAATAAGATGAATGCCTGAACTTAAAACATTTTGACGAGTTTAGTCCACCATATTTATATATTTATAAATTTATTAAAAATTAATATTATTAAAATCAATTATTAATTAAAATTAATTATGGTCATACCAGTCTATAGTATTCTATGTTCTGTTCTGTATTCATACTACTCTATTCCCATGCAAAACAACTAATTTTGTTTTAAATAATACACTTTGATTACCTGATTCTTATGAATGACAATAATGTGTTTAATTTTTTCATTATCCAAACCATAAAATTCAAGTTTATCTTTAGGTATAGCAGGAATTCGGCATGTGTAGAAAATTTTATAATAAGCCAGCAAATCATCAGATTGATCAGATTTAATTTGAATTGGTAGAAAATAGCTGAAATAAATTATTAAAATTACAAAACAATGAAAAGACAGCAATGAAAAGACATATAAAACGCATTTCATCAGTAGAGAGACAGGACTACACTATAAAAATTCTGGATTTAAATCTTCTAAAATTTATGGCAAAAAGTACCGGCCTTCAGAGTGCTGGTACTTTTTACTGTAATATAAATTTTTATCGAAAAAAAACTGATATACCGTTACTTTACATTAATAATTAACATAAGATTATTGAATCACTCTAATTAAATAAATGCGACTGTAAAAATTCTGGTGTAATATTTCGCAATAAAAATGGATTTTACGGAAATATGAATTTTACGGATGCTGCACCCAAAGTGCCGGTATTTTATAGCATAATTTGATCTAAAGTTTTTTACAGTGTAGTGTGAACATGGAGCTAAAGTTGATAAATGGAATATTTCTGCCATCTAAATTTTTTTAAAATATATTTTGTCAGGTTGGCAAAACTAATTTACATTTTCTCTTGTAGTAAGCATGTAGTTATGACAAGTTTATTATATGTTTTAATAGTCACTCTTGATTTACTTTCTTTTAATTAATGTTTTACTTGACTTCTTTTAATTAACCGAGAATAAGTTAAAAAGTATAAATACCTCCATGGGACAAATGTAGACACATAGGTATGGGAATTCTCAAGACATGTAAATGTTAACAGGGTTCTAAATTTTTGTTAACCCTTTCACGCATAATTTTTATTAAACGTATTTTTCTTAATTTTGTTCACTATTTTGTATTAATTTGGGTCAAAATAAATTAAAAATGTTATATTTTGCATTTTAATAACTTATGGTTGTAAAATATAATATAAAACACAGGAGCCTTTCCTGTGTTAAAGATAAAATTTTCCAAACAGTAATTTTTCAAATTTGAATTCTCCATTTTCGTTTAGATTAGTTTTTGCTTAGGTTAATTCTTCAACGCAGTTTAAGATTTTTTTAATTAAAAATTATTGATAACTTTTGGAGTTTTATTATTTTTTGTAGCAACTTTAAAATGTGTACTTCCGAAACTCTGTTAATACCTCTTTCTCTGACAAGGGATTTAATATTAATTTATCAAACTATTTTAAAAGACATAGAAAACAAAACCATATTTGATTTAATAAAATATTATTCTATCAAACAAATATTAAAATGCAGTCAAATGCAGCAGTTTTTTTTACGTAATTGTATTATACTTAGATTAATTTTTAAATCTATATTTACATACATGTAACCTGGAAGGTTGCATATTCCTATTGTATATAAATTGTTCTGTAACAAATATCAAGAAAATCAAATTTTTTAGGCACTTGAAAACCTAACCGCCTGAATATCAAGCCCTATTTATTTGTTTAAATTATTTGTAAAATGTGATGGATGAGATCATAATAAATCAAAATTAATGAAATCAAATATTAAATGGTAATGTGTAATATTTGCTACCACTTTAAATATTCGAGAAAAACTCATCCATTAATTTTATGTATTTACTTCTTAGTACTTTCATAAACTAAAATAAACATTGTTACGATTACTTTTCTCAAAACTGTAAATTTAAACTGAATTGATTATGTTTTGATTTCACTTGCGTTTTCATAATAGCATTTTAAATAATAAGCTTTATGAATTGTTCCTACAAGCCCTATAATATGTCCACACTAGCCCTATTTAATGGGCCAGTGTTATTTGAAAAAAAAAAATGTTTTGAAAAATGTGTACTGTTTTCTCAAAACGTTAAGTGTCTTCGAAAATCAATTCTAGGTAATTTCCCCCATAAAATTCGTTAACAAATTTGATGAAATGTTCTAAAATATTTTGGGAAATAGGAAAAAGTGATTCTCAAAGAAAAGTTCGTTAAATAGAAAATTCACTTCGTTGTTTGGGAGTTATTTTACGAAGAAATTTCCACAATATTCTTGATTCCTCAACCCCCTCCCAAGAAAAACCCCCTCATATAAGAGAAATTCGCAAAAAAAAAGAAGTTCGTTAAATAGAAGTTCGACTATAGTTTTAAAATTAGAAATTAAAGATTTTATTTCATTTCCTCAAAACAACAAATTCTCATTTCATGAAGTGTCCGTTTTCGGGATGAAATATTCTGCAGAATGTTCGCTTTTTTTAGATGGGTTCGTTTTAATGATAAATGATTTCTCAAAAAGCCCACTTTAACTATAGAACTTTTGGGAAGGATCATCAAATGACCTAAATTTCAACTAAAATAGAAATTTGAAATTTCAATTTTTGCTATTATTCTTTAAACTAAAACTACATATTTTTTCTTTTCCAAACTGAAACTTCAATTTGAAAATTTCTGAATTAGAAATAAAGTTTTTTTCATTCGAAATTTTGCATTAAATTTTAAGCTTTTAGCTTAGTAGACAGATAAAGAAATTATTTGACTTACTTGTCTATCGATTTCTTGAAATTCAGAAGTCCAGCTACCATCCTAGATGCCTGCCTAAAAATTAAAATCTTTGCATCTGAGAAATAGAATTGAGTATCGAAATTTCGACAGACTTCATTATTTTTGAGGATCACATTAATATTTCATATTGTAACTATTAGCGCACCAATCATTTAAAGTGTTGACGAGTATTTTTAAAATCTTTTTAAGCTCTATAAATAGTTTATAAAAGTCGTGGTGGCTCAGGGAAAAGAGTGTTTACCTTCCAATAAGATAAATCGGGCTAGAATCCTAGAGATGGCTGGTTGTTACAAATTCCGCATCTGGCGTGCACCGACCACAATGCTGAAATAAAATATCCCCAGTGGTTGACGGATCATTGGCTAGAGCCCTCTTGCTGTCAGGAGACGCGTGCTAGGTTTTGGTGGTTTTTCTCTCCATTTAACGCAAATGCGGGTTAGTGCGATTAAATAGTCTTCCACGAAGACAAATTACTCTCGATTCTTGATCCAGGAGTTCCCCTGTCTTCGGGATTGGTTTCAAAGTTACAAGGCTAAGGAGTTAGGCCGGGATAGTCTGGTCAGTGGGGTGTGGGGCCCATGTCCAAGAGTTCATGGATTCGGTCCCCACTGGTCGAAGACTCCCCGTGTAGTAAATGGTGACTGATGCACGTTAAGTCTGTCGAGTCTCAAAGTCCTCCATGTTCCCATAACAAATCAATACCTCTGCGGGTACCAATCCAGGAGTTTCCTTGTCTTCTGGATTGGTTCAAAATTACAAGGCTACGGCGTTGAACATTAGTAGTCGTAAACCCAAAAATTGGGTCGACTGTTCAATGGTGGTCATAAAATTAAAAAGGCTAAGGAGTTGAACATTAGTAGTCGCAAACTTAAAAGTTTTGTCAGCTATTAAACGACGGTAGTAAAAAAATAAAAAATTAGTTTATGACGCATAAATTGCCAAATATAAGTTTTGCCAAAATGTTTTTTTTTTGTATTTAAAAAAAAATCAGAAATATTTTTTTTCAATTCTGAAAAGCATTATATCATTGAATGGAGATAATTATAAACATTTTCCCTGGATTCTAACTTTCCAATTTGTATTATATCAGTTTTATTTCAAACTTCATTGAAAATAATTTTGTACAATTTTTATAGAGCCTATCCAAAGAAACTATAACTTGTAATTTTAACAAGAACAAATTGAAGGGAGCAAAATATTAAGTATAAATAAATTATAAGATTATAATCGTTATGAAAACAAAAAAAAATACTGCATAAGCTGAATACATGAAAAGTTTTTCCAAAATATTATTACTTATTTATGACACTATTCACTTCGCGTGAGATAAGAGTTGGTAACAATTATAAATAATGATAAAATAAGGATCGTCATGGTAAAATTTAGCGATAAGCAAATACAAATAATTTCTATGAAATGATTTTAAATATTTCAAAAACGTATATTCTCATCAGACAAATTTTGTTTTTACTGAAAAGTGCGTAAAAAAACGGAACCACCGTGAATAACAATATTCGAATCTCACGTTCTAGCACCCAATCGTAACAGACACAAAAACGTACTTTCTCTGAATTTTTGACTGATTGAGATTACTGACCCACATTATAGGACGAAGTCACAATCTGGGAAATATGATCCTAATAGTTTGGTAAAGACAGTTGTCCAAAGTTTGACCCTTGTTGTTAATTTTATTTTTTGCGTATTTCGCCATACCTCGAGAAATGTTTAAGAAAAATCATGCATTTTTGGACATAATTATAAAATTAGTTTATCAAAAGATTATTCTATGCAAAAAGTAACTTTTAATAAAAATTTAATATTTCCTATTAATGTATTTACTAATAGTTTCAGAGCTTTTGTAAGGTATACTAATTTATAAATCATTTTAAAGTACGTAATTTAAGATGACAAAATACAAAGTTTGAGCGAAATTGGATGAATAGTTCACGAGGAATTGAATTTTAAAAGTATAATTTACCTATATCTTAGTATTCAAAATTCTTAGCACTAAAAAAATAAAAAAATTATAAATATTTACTAAAAGTTAGTTTTTGTATGGAATTATCTTTGGATAAATGGATTTTATAATTGTGAGCAAATTTTTTTGAATTCGCTGTAGATGTTCTCGAGATATGACGAAATAAGCGAAAAGTAAAATTAACTTTAAAGGTCTGCACTTTGGACCACTCTCTTAACCAAACTATTGAGATTATATTTCCCGGATTGAAGTATATTTTGCCTAGCTCCTATATTTTGGGGATCAAATCCATCAAAAATAATGTGTGCTCATTGAGAGAAAGTATGTTTTTATGTCTTATTTCGTAACGAAAAATGTAGTTTGCACTAATTAATTAGCATATTTCAGGACACCCCTGTGAATCATTAGGATTGAGTCCCAGAAAGTGAAAGTCCGAACCTTAAAATCAAATGTCATTCAGGGTGGCCCGTTTCGTTATTTCTTGATTTTTTAAATTTTTTTCGCACATTGTGCGCCTGTAAATCAAACTGCTACAACAGCACTGTTCTTCGTACTATAAAACAAAACAAGCTTATGCTTATTTTTTGTCATTTTCATATTTAAGAAATACAGGAGAATGAGAAATTTTTTGAATATAAATTGATAAAAAAAAATAGTACATACCACTTCCAATTCTTTATAGGAACAATTGTTTGTTTTCTTGGCAATATAATAATTATTATAACAAAAGTAACAGAACAAAAAACGTTGCTACTTACCAAAGTCTGTCTCCCTTGCAACTTTTATAATATATTCCACAGCTTGGACTTTTGTAACAAACTAGAGGTTTCCGATTTTCAAGGAAATATGTATTCAGTTGCAATTCATCTGACTAGAAATAAATATTATCGTTTACAAGATATTTCTCCATAACCTAATATTTGATTTGATTTTTGAATAACCTTTAATATTTGATTTTTGAATCTAGTTAAAATTGGAGTAAAAAATATGCAAATTAGAGTAAATCAAATGCTCATTATCTAGACAAATCAGTTTTCAGCATTTAATGTATTTGCGTTACATGGAGAGGAAAACCACGGCAACCTTCTTAGGTTATTCGGACGGCAAGGGAACTCTAACCCGTGATCCGTCTATCATTGAGGATATTTTACGTTAGCATTGTAGTCGGTGCAAGCTGAATGCGGATTTCATACCTCCATCGCTAAACTGGATTAGAACCCGGTTCACCTCATTGGAAGGCGAAAACTCTACCCACCATGGCTCTTTTATGCAGCCTCTTTTTATATACAGCCCCCTCATAGGTTTTTACACCCTCCAAGATGAAATAGTTTTAAAATATGTATAAACCAGAGATTTCAGATGACGCTATGCTCGCTCCAATGAGGAGGCCGAAAGAAAATACAAGAACAGTTTTGAGCTTTTCAGTGAACTGTGGGGGAGGGGAGCCCTCCAGTTTCCTTTTAAATTTCGTTAAATCTTTTTTACTTATATCCTTGTTAAATCTTGTTAAATCCTTATAATTTTTATCTTCATTAAAATATATACAGTCAGAATTCTTTCAATTGATGCTAATAAATAATTCTTAATAGATTCTTAGAACAATAAGTAAAACGCAATGAGTAATAAATGGAAACAATTAATTAAAATTGCTTTATTTATGTATCAGATAAAGCTTGTTTTTAACCTAAAAGCAATCTCTTAAGTCTAAGTGCATGAAGAAATAACATTACTGAAACCGGTAGTTTACTTATTTTATTACGAAATATATTTGTAAAGGTGACGTCTTTTTCTTTCTTTTCTTTTTTTTACTGCCATTTGCATTTGCTATGTTTTGATCGTAAATATAGCATTTGTAGTTGAAATCACTGATGTAAGTTACTTTTACAGACAAACTTGCAGAGTTCACTCAAATTCAATCATTATCTTTTACAATAATCTTTCCCAAATATTTTATAATCTTTTGAATGGTTTTATTACTTAAAGCTTTATTAACTTTCTTGTTTAATATTTTTTTTTCAAATGAATAATTTAATAATTTTATTTAAGTTAGAAATTCTGATGAATGACTATTACAAGCACTGACTTCTTAATGTTTCGAAACGGAGAATGATCTAGGAAAATTTTTTCCCCTCTAAAATTACTGATTGTAACAAGATTATAAGAAACGAAGTTATTGCATTTTAACTATAACGTTACCAAGAATTCTGGGTCATGTTATTTAATTCATAATAAGACGAATAAAAATTTTTATTTAAGAAATTAACGTCACAAAAATATATATTCACCCAATCATAGCTTCTTTTAGCTTTCTCAGCCAACATGGTTTGCAGCTTAGTTCCCAATCCATTAGGTGAGGCAAATTCATTCACAATCTATGAAGAAACATTTGTCGGTAAGCATTTTGTTCTGAGCACAGCTCAAAATACGTATTTACAAAAATGGACATAGCTCAAAATGAAAACGGACACAGCTCGATATGCGGATTTAGAAAAATGTATATAGCTCAAAATGCATATTTAAGAAAATGGATATAGCTCGATATGCGTGTTTAGAAAAGCGGACATAGCTCGAAACGCATATTTCCGAAAATGAACACAGCTTGATATGCGTGTTTAAAAAATGGATACAGCCAAAAATGAGTTTTTTATAGTTCTACTCGAATTTAACAACTAAACGAGAAATTTCGTGCTTACTTTTTCTTACTTATTTAAAAATAATCATATCATAGCAATAGTCATGAACTCTGGGGTCGAGTTAGCTAGGCATATAACACTTGTAACTTTTCTAGCGATGTGTTCGAATTCAGAATTCTGTACGATAAAGTAATTTTTTAATATCCAAAGTAGTACTCCACTATTATAACTACTATACTAGTATTATGAATTTATAAGATCCGTTTCAAAATTGTAAAGAAAAACAAACGAAACTGCTGAGTTTCAAAAATGGTAATTTAATAAAACGTGTGAAGTGATTTATAGTGAATACGATTGATGGACGATGTCACATGTATTAGTATGGTCTTTAAATCAAGAACCAAACTCATAAAAGAAGTTTAAAAAATTAAATAAAATTTTATGTCTATTTTCTTAGAAAGGTTTTGCTCATTTTTTAAACACGCATTTTGTCCATCTTCGTAAACGTGCACTTTGAGCTATGTCTATTTTTATAAACATGTATTTTAAGTTCTATCCATTTTCGTATAAAAGTATTTTGAACTATTTCTCGGACAAAAAGCTCAGGGTCGATACATAAGTGTGATACTCCTACTACCTTTCTATCGTATTATATTTTGAATAATAAGATTATAAGTTAAAATAAACAAGAAATATATTATAGTACATGTTATAATTTAATAATAGTGAATGTATGCAATAGCGAAATAAAACAAAGAAATTGTGTTTCATGAAATGTAATTTCACTAAATGTAATTTTCTTTCATATCTTTTTAATTCAAGTTATTTGTCTGAAGATACAAATGCATTAAAAAAAGATGAAATGAAACAAACTTAATTTTAAAAAATTCAATTGTCACGTTTACTTTATGATTTAATAACTAATTTTCTATTTGTGGAGCTAATCAGTGTGTTTTTTAATTTTAATGTCAGCTTTTATAACCTGAATATTCTACCCATAATGCCACAGCTAAATGATCCAGCAAAAGCAGCATCGTAATAAGCATAAAAAATAACTTTTATTAAGTTAATATATTGTTATGTTGTTTATAAGTTTCCAAAAACCCATATTTTCAATAAAGTAAATGGCTAAAAAATTTTAATTTATAAATAAATATGAACTATATAAAAACATGCTGGCGAGTTTTTCTCTCTGTAGCTTACAAGTAGAATTATAATGAAAGGCTTTTGATTAATTTTAAAATTTCGAATAAACTTCAAAACTAATTTTTTAGTAAGTTATATACCATCTAAATACTTCTTATCATATTTAAATGGCGTACGCGTGTTTAGAAGTCATAAGCAAGATTTTCATTGAGTCAGAAAACGGAATATGCGTAACATCTGCGACGAAAGTTTGAGCCTTAGCACTTATGATGATATTTCACAAAACAGCTTTATGTTTCAAAACAAGGATAGCCGGCTGTTAGGGCGTGAGACTCAAGTTCGAGAGGGCATGAGACTCAAGTTCGAGAGGTCGTGAGTTCGATTTCCGATGGCCGATGACTCCCTGAGTACAAAATGGTGGCTGGTGCAAGCTAAATCTGTTGAGGTCACAAAGTCTTCCTAGTTCACATTACAAATCTATACCTCTGGGAATTCTGGATTGGAGATTGATCGAGCTATGTTTCAAATCAAAATTACGGCGAATGGATGGTGTGTGAATGTGATCTCCCTATTAAACGGGATGTGATGTATGTATGCTGTCTCCGGATCATCCTTGGGGATGTTTCCCAGACCGTCACCAATTGCTCACTGTGCAGTTTTAGTGCGACAAAACAAGTCCTGTGCTAACTACAGGATAATTGGGATGTTATAATTGCTGATCCGTTAAAAAGTTGGCATTTACATCTTTATATTGTAATTAGTCAAAATTTATATATTTCCTGAATACAGACTTTATAGCCTGAAGGTACTTGTTTCTTTAATCTAACAAATGCTTTTCCCCATTATTTTAAAATATTTAAGTAGACCAAAATTTTATATTTTTTTAACAAATTTAATGAAGCATAAAAAATGATTATTAATGGTTATAGAACTTCAGATAATATAGCTATAAAATTTTATATGCTACCTCAGAGAAGGGAATCGTCAGGAATTTGTAACGCATGACTAGCTTAAATATTTTTTCACGTATTGATCAAAGATATTAAAATCAATGAATTATGCTCATTTTTATGTTTTCAGGAGTGCAAATAAGGCAGAGAAGGGACAACTTCTCAAATATTAATAAATTTATATTAAAATGTCATATTGTGAGTTTTTTCTTCATATACTAGGTGGTTTAATCATAAAAATTTAAAAATATTTCACACAAACACTCTTTGTTTTCACAAAACTACGTTTTTTTTCCTTATTAGCATTTTGCATCTTTTTAATAATTAGTGTAGTGGTTAAAGATGATCAAGATATAATATTATCGTCATGAATAACTGTTACAAATGCACGACTGGGAATCATGTTGACACAGAGCGCTCACTTCTCAAAGAGGGGACGCATGTTCGTGTCCCAACGATGGCTCTTCGATACGAACTTTGCTCCCACAGTGAAGATACAAAATATCCTCATTGGAAGATGGATCATGGATTGGAATTCCCTTGCCGATGGGCATACCATGGGAGCTTTTCGTGGTTTTTCTCACCGTCTCATGCAAATGCGGATTAGTTTCATCAAAAATTATTTCGTGAAGGTTAGTTTGAGTTACAGGAGTTCCCTTGCCTTTTGGGTAGTCCTTGGGTTGTTTTGGATGCCTTTGTCTTCTGGTTCAAAAATACAATGATACGTAGTTGATCCATCCATCTCAGGGCGAGTCGTAAATTCAAAATTGGATCGGTTGTACAGCACTGGTTATAAAATGGAAGAAAACTCACGACAGTTATAATTTTTTTAAAATAACGGCAGGCACTGAACTTTCGTTCTTCGCCTTAGAAGATGCCGTAAGTGGTTCCTATTTATTGTTACCCAGTGGGCACCCGTGAATCAAAGTCACGGAGGCGAGCAACATTACCCACGCCACACTGCCACGAATACTTGCTCATAGGGTGGGCCACATTCATACAGTCACACATCAGATGACAACAGAGAGAGATAGAAACATGCCCAGAGCGGGATTCGAACCCGCAGCCATTGGCTTCGCAGGTCAGGCATGCTAAGCACTCGGCCACCTGGCCGGCTCAGTTATTAAAATAAAAAATTCGTTAAAAATCGTTATTTAATTTTATGCCTTAAGAACAGTGTCAAAAAGTTGCTAAAGAGTTTTTTTTTATGAAAAATTTTAAATGTTGCTAAAGTATAAAAAAATAGGATAAACTTAAAAAAAAAGCTTACATTTGTTGTTTTTAAATACTCCTCACTCGACAGGAATGGGCGAACTGAGTATAAATATTTTGCCAATGTAGCTTGAAGTGGCGGTACAGGAAGTCGAGGAAGAGACATCTCATGAATCCAGAGATCTTCATTTCTTTCTAAGAAGGTGATGATAGAAGACGAGTAAGTGGATAATGGACTTCTACACGTCGGGACATATCTCACTTGTTTCTAAAAACAAATAATTATGAATTAACCTTTCAAATGATAGACTATGCAAATGAAATGATAGTATAGATTTCTGCAAATGATTTTATATTATTGGTACATGATAAATGCAAAAGTTATCAAAAATATGAATAAGCTTGGCAAATGCTAGTTCTGAAAGAAGTTATAGATTATGCAAGTGTGTGATATATTCTTCAAATGAAAAGATAGTATATATTTGCATGTAGCGTTTGCATTTCTATTGGAATTAACTCAGAAAATGCAAAGATAATAAATATAAATTAGCTTTAAAAATGATAAATGCAAATGATAATAATTATTATAAATTTACTTTTAAAATCAATGTTTATTCAAATTAAATGATAAGTTTTTCAAATGAAGAGGCAGCTTTTGAGCTGTATAAATTTCTAAATGTAGATATAGAATTTTGTCTCTAAAAATACTCTTTTGTCCCAAGAATTTTGAAATTCGTTGCTACTTTTTACCATATAATCCGTTTTTGCAGTATAATTTTAAGAAACAAAAAATCTGAAATATCGTAATTTTTACGGTAATATTTATCGTAAAATCATTGAAGCACTGCGAAAAATAATTTGTCATGGTAAAATGGATTTAATGGTAAAATTAATTTTGCGATGATGCACCCAGGGTGTTGATACATTTCACCGTAATTTGATCAGAATTTGTTTATATTGTAGAACATTGAAATTATATAACAAAAATAAGAGTGGTATTTTCATACTTCACAAATAATTTAAAAGTTACAACTAATACGCTAAAACATTTTCCCATTACGTCTTTTCGTTTAGCTAAACACATTATATTATTAGATTATTTGTTACTTCAATTAAATGGTTATTTTCGTTAACTTTGAGCATCAAACTCATAAGAAAAGGAAAAAAAATAACCTGTAGGTGATGATAAAATTTTGCATAAAAATAAACTGCAATATAAACCATAATGACATGCGAAAAAACGTATATTTCGTAATTTAGAAAGCTGCTAATTCAAAACATACTTCAATATTTATCTGACTTAAAATTCTGATTATTTTACTTAATTGTCATTGATGCACTGAATTTAAAATGAAAGAAGAAAACACGCTAGAAAACAGAGAAGATGGATAATTTTTGAGTTACATAATAGTAATTATGATTATGATGTTATAAAAAGTAATATTGAACTTCAAATTTGATTTATGAAATAGCAACAACAATACATAAAAATGCATTTAATTTTAATAACCCACGCATTAAAAAGAATATTACCATAAATCTGGAAAACCTCATTTTTTTCAAGAGCTGTGCTTTGCTATGATTTTTTAAGCTCATAACATATTTCAGTTTGGAACAGATTGCTTGTAATTTTTTTTCTATTATATTATGTGAGTAATACAAAGTTATTAATGGCACTATAAAATTTGATAACAAAAAAGCTGTGCATACAGATAATAATAGCAAATGGTTTTCTGTTTAACTCACAGGAAAGGTATGCGAATTGTTATGTAGAAATGAAATCGATTTTTTATTAGGAAATAATATTTTAATTTTAATTTTTTTATTGAAGTTTTGTAATTTTTTAACTTTATTTCTAACTTTAAGGCCAGTAGAACTTCGTCTGCGAGACGAATACTGTAGGCTTTGATGAATCGAATATAAATAAATACATATTCCAAAATAAAGAGATTTTATTTAATGTTTTGTCTATTTCGAAAATAATATGGATAATATTTTCTGATAATTCTAATACTTGGAATATTAATAATATTCTCAAAGTAAATATTTGTAATTCTTTTTTAAACAAATAATGTATTAAAATAAGTCAGTAATCAGATAAGTAAGTGTCATTTTGGGAACTTGTCAGTAGTATATGGTTTTAATTTAATAAAATAATATAACCGTAGCTGATGCCCTCTAACTCAGAATTTTTATTAAACATATTTTTACTGCTTTTTTTTATTATTTTGTATTAATTTAGGTCGAAATAAGCGAAAAATATTATATTAAGCTTTTTAATAATTTATGGTAATAAAATACATCATGAAGCAATGTCTTTTTCTACGTTAAAGGTAAGATCTCCTGAATATGGCTATTTCCTAAACAATAGTTTTTAATATTTGCACTTTTTAGCAGTTATTTAGATCTAAGAGAAACAGTTATTATCATTGAAATTTCATTTATATACAAAATCAAATATTGTTAAAATTTTGAATATGAATAAAACAAATCAAACTACTCATTTTGGATTTCATATTTTAGTACAAATATAATTCCTATAATCTAACAATTTTTTTAATAATCAAAAGATACCGAAATGTATTTTTACTTCCAATTGGAGCGTTAGCGAAAACTATACAAAAGGAACACCAGTGTTTCATCTACGTCAAAACGTTAATGTTTACATGTTGCATACAGTTTCTTTGTTTTAAAATAAAGTTAGCATAGGATGGATTAAAATAACGGCATGCATTTTGAAGCTTTATTTATCAAAAACTATCTTGCCGGGTTTTGAGGCGGTACTACTTGGTGTTGTCTCAGGTATTGTGCTATCTGTCCTTTTCTACTTGACGAAGGTTTATAAGCCTATTTTGAGCACACAAGCCTGAAAATTTATGTAATTGCAATAACCAATAACCTATCTTGCCATATTCAACATCATTTAGAGTTCCAAGCCACTGAATTACGGGCATTAGAACTTTATTGTAATAGTAGCAATTTTACTTAAAAAATATTGGTTAAAAAACTATTGTTCTCCATGGAATTAAACGTTTTAATTTAATATCGCTACTTTAATCATTTCTAAAGGGACACTGAAAATGTTTCTGTTGACCAAGCTTTATTTGACTTAATTTATAATTATTTGTTATTTTTGTTAAAAATTGTCTTCAAAAAAAGAATAAACGATTTCAAAGTGATATTTCTGTAAACTACCTGATATCAATGTGTAATACAAAAATAGTATAAGAAATGAGTGAAAAATATTCAATGAAGTATAATTATAGCATTAATTTTAATGTAATTGTGTTTAAATTGAATAAAATTAAGAGATTACTATAGTATAGGAAGCATGCTATGGTATAGGAAACACGGGGATTTCCTAACATTGAAGCCGGCAACATGGCTCTCAGAATTACTCGTGCTTAGAGATAGGTGAAATTTTTTTTCTATACTTAAAAGGCATTTTTTCTTCTTCTTTTCTCAGTATCTAAAAGTTCTTAACGTGTCTTAGGAAAGTAATTAATTAAAATTGATTTAGACCAATTGTTTAAAAGAAATTTTTAAGAGCTCAAATTTAAATTAATTATTAAAAGCTCAAATTTAAACCAATTGTTAAAAGCTCATGCCGTAAGATGCTGATAGTATTTGTATATTTATATTGCTGTTAGTTGCTATTGTGATGTTTAGCATGCGTGCAGCTGCCTTAAAAAGCTTAGTTATGATGTTAGGTTACTTCTTTTTATACCGCAATTTGTGCAATATATAAAAAGTTTAATACAACAAAATAAAATAACGAATTTACTGCACAATATTTCTGAATTTGTTTGAATATATTAATTATTCATGAAAACATTCTTGTAAAAATATTTCTTTTACTTGAGAATAACTTCTTTATATTTCTTTAAAGAAGGCAGTCAAATATTTGTTGTTGAGGTTAATGCTTATCAAAAGAGAGTCGAAAGTTACTATTCGAGAGTTATTTTGGTAACAAAAAATAGATCATAATATTAATAATGATCAGATAATGTTATTTAAATAATAAATATTTCTGTTTTTAAACTTTTCAAGTTTCTTATTAAGATAAATATCGAAACAAGAGAACATCATTTAATGAAGTCTTTTGATAAGAACTATCAAAGCAACTTCAATATCTCAAAAGAATGTTTTTAACAAACAACATAAATCATTTTCTAAATAACTATAATAAATTATTGCTTGAGCTTGGCCTATGAAAAAATTAGTATGACAGTCTTCTGTGAGCGAATGTTAAGAAAATTAATTTAAGAGGAACTACTCGCTCATGCGCCAATTACTTTCAAGTGAGATCACATGTAGTGAGAATGATATTGTGGCGTAACTACCACTACGATTATTAAACATCAATTCACTGGTATATAAAACATGCTAACTTGATTCAATCACGTGTTACCTTTTGATAGATGACATGGTCGATAATTGAAATCCCTTGAATGGTGATCGTGGACGTGATATGAACTCGCTAACATGATGGATGGTCCACAATAAGCAGTTGATTTGCTTAATATAAATTGCTTAAAAAAAATCCAGTGAAGTAAATAAAGTCTCCCGGGGTCAATAAGCATTATTGAAGAAAAAAAAAAACAAGAGAAATGCAATAAACAAAAATAAGAAAAAATAATGAGCAAAATGCTATAAAAAAAGGAAGAAAAAATATAATGAGCGAAAATGATATAAACAGCATGAATCAACTAGTAATCGTTCATCGAATTCTATGGCAGATAAAATTCTGGAAGGGGAGTAATGTGGCGTAACTACCACTACAAATATTAAATACCAAATCACGTCCGGGTCACCAATGTGGATGGAGGAGGTACCTTTTGATGGATGAAGGTTGGCACTGTTGATAGCTTCTCCAACCACAATCTCAATAGTAAAAACACAGAAGAATCTGTAAAGGCTAAAAATAAATCTGATTAACAAGTGAGAGAGAGAGAGAGAGAGAGAGAGTATCACATATAAACGTGATGGCATTTAACCATTTTCCCTTATTGTAGACGCATTCTTATTGGTCAGAAAAAGAAACCCCATGCTATGGTTACAGCTTTAACAATAAAAACACCACATTTTTTTCGGTCGTAATCAACACAACATCAGTTAAAGTTTTAAAAGTATTGTTTGTCGTAACATATTTTTTATTCCGATTTTAAAAGTATTTATCCGCAATATTTCTTTTATCGCAATATTCTTTGCTAATATTACTTTTCAATTTTGGTTATTATAAAAAAAAAAAAATTAAAGGCTTAAAACTGAAATCGGTGTTTCCTTATGATCAATCTAATAGGTTATCATTATGGTATAAAAATATAAAAATTGTTTTTCTTCATACCTTCTTTTCCGATGGTGTTACTTAATAACGCCATATTATTACGCATTATATATATATATATATATATATATATATATATACATAAAGTGCTTCTATGAAACAAAAGACC